GGAGGACAGACCGTCCAGCTGAAACTCCTTGAGGCTGAGCGTCCGATGGAGCTGGGCCAGCTCAGCCCGGAGACCGGCGAGCTCCGCTGGGTGAACCCCGGGCTCGCTCCTCTGGCCCTGAGATGAGGGAGCTGCCGGCTGGACCGAGACCCTCTCCCGGTGACCCGAGGAGGATAGAGCATCCAGGCGGGATTCCTGGAAGCTGATGAGCTGGCGGAACCGGCCAAGCTCCGCCCGGAGACTGACGAGCTCTGTCAGCTGTGCTGCGGCCAACGCTCCTCCGTCTCTCCCCACGCCGTGGACCAACCCCGGTGGATCACACAGCCAGGTGGGTGCCCACGTAGCTGGAGTGATCCGAGTGTGTCTCTCGGTCTGATCTCTCATCAGGCTCCGAGAGGGTGGAGAGGATAGCCGAGGGTGCAGGTCGGTGCCATCGTCTGCGGCGAGGCGGAGCTGGAGCTGAAGAAGCCGGCTGGTGGCTCGGGGTGAGCCACCGGAGCAGGTACTCCCACGGGAGAATCTCCCCGCTGGATCCTTCAACGGGTCGGTCCATTCTGTCACGGCGTGTGGGCGAGGTGAGCGGAGGTGAGGCGAGGATCCAAACGCGGGGAGGAAGACAGGCAGACAGGCAGACAGGTAGGACGTTTTAACATAACTTTAATAAGAAACACGCAGGACACTGAAACAATGGACCGACACAAGACACAGAACAGAAGGGGCTTAAATACACGAGGGCCGGGAGCTAAGGTGATTGGGAAACGAGAGGCAGGTGGGAGCAATAACGAGACACAAGGCTGAACCAAAACGGGGAGACAGGACAGGTGTGTGTGTGTGTGTGTGTGTGTGTGTGTGTGTGTGTGTGTGTGTGTGTGTGTGTGTGTGTGTGTGTGTGTGTGTGTGTGTGTGTGTGTGTGTGTGTGTGTGTGTGTGTGTGTGTGTGTGTGTGTGCGAGTGACCTGGCTGGAGACTCCTGATCTCCTGATGTCGTAAATAATGGATGTGCTTTCACTACACTGTTATGGTTAGAAAATGAATGTTGTAGATATGACTTGTCCAGATGTAGGGAGTATGTAGTTGTTATTCTCTGTTGAATTAGTCCAGAATGCTAGAAAGATACAAAGGAGACATCTTGTCTAGGTAATGTTTATAGACGACTTAGCCGACCCCCGGGTTGGAGAAGAAAAGGGAGGGGGACACAACTCCCCCTGCTGACTGTTGACACGAGAAGGGATGAGGTAATCCCTAAGGACACCAAGATGAGCCAGCAAGAGACGCTGGGAGGAGCGAGGTCATGTTACCAGTGGACCGGTCAGTGTGCTTCATGAAACAGGTCAGTGTGCTTCATGAAACAGGTCAGTGTGCTTCATGAAACAGGTCAGTGTGCTTCATGAAACAGGAAGAGCTACCATGGAGACGGAACAAGAGTCAAGGAGGAGGGGGGGGGGGAGCCGAGACTGCTAAGCCCAACCAGCCATTCCTCCCCATCCCTGCATGTTTCTCTCCTCCTGCTCCCTCACATCATCACACAAATACACATAGGACCTTGGGGGGTGGGCAAGTCAGGGAGTGCGGGTATGGACCCCATTTCCGCATTCCTGTGGCAACCTGCCCCCCAAATTTATTTGCACCTTATACACTTCCACTGACGACATTCCACACAAACACACACTTAGGGCCTTGGGAGTGAGCACATTCAACGGCTTTTGGCAGGGGGATATCTCAGCCTCCTCCAGGGTGCCGGTGCCCACTTCCAATTTTAAACCGCACTTAGACACCGACGGCTGAGGGTGTAAGTGGGGTGGTGCGGTGGCATCAGCTGGCATAGGCCGGATGATATCCGCACTGCCCACTCACCACAGCCATGGAATACACTTTACGATCACATAACACTATATTGGAGCAGGCGGAGGGAGACTAGGGGTCTTAGCCACCTCTGTTGTTGCTTGGCTTCCTGGGGCTGGAGGCTAGGAGGGAGATCTGGCCATCTGGTTGGGGTCGGAGGTGGTAGATTGCTGTGCTCAGCGTTGGGCGGGGGAGCCTGCTCATCAGTACCCCAGCAGAAAGGGTCAAACTCTGGTTACCGTTGATGGTTGTACCAAATGTACAGCAGTACCGGGACCAGAGTGAATAGGGTGTGTATGGGGAGCATGAGTGGGTGTCCGGCGTGCATTTTTGTAAGTCTTTGGTTGTATGTGTATGTGTGAGCATGAGGGAGGGAGTGTGTGACTGTGTTTGTGTATGACTGTATATGTCAGGTGGGGCCTTTGACTCCTCCTCTCTCCTGGAACTTCTTTTGATGATATAGATCTTCGTCCCCCCTCCCCCTGCCACATCTGGTGTGAGGGGTTGTGCCTTGGTCTGCCTGACTGTTCGTGGCAACCGGGTCTGGGGGTTTAAGATTTTGGCATCTGCCTGATAGATCCCGGTGGCTGCCTGGTGGGGTCTGGGTCCCTGGGCTCTGCTGGGTCCCCGGCAGGGGTGGTCGCCCCTGGGTCCCGGGTCGCTGGGTCCCGGGCTCGGCCGGCTAGGGGGTGGGAGGCTGCGGGCGGGCCTGAGGGCTTTCCGCTGATGTCTCCCAGGACTCTGCCGGCCGCTCGTTGTGGCCCCCAGGGGCGATCCTCTGTGCCTCTCGAGGGGGGGCGGGGGCCTTTCTGGTTGCAGTCTCCTTGGGGTTCCTGTGTTCTGGGGCAGCGCCTGGATCTCTGAGACTTGGAGCGCCCCCCGTCTCCTGCGCACCTTTGGGGGGCGGATCTGTGGTCCCTCACACTCTGTTGGACGCTCCTATAGAGAAACCTTACATATACAAGCGCATGTACGCACGCGGGTGCTCACATGGTGCTCTCATAAGTATGGACTTGGGCACGTTCAACACATGTCTGAAGTCTATGGTTGGCACTAAATGCACTGTTTATTATCGTGTGATTGTTCAGTAAAACAATGTTATTTTACACTTCCTCATCAGGTTGACGCAGTGATAGTATTGCTGTGTATCCCTTTTCTGCAGGTCTAGAAGCAGACTCTTGTTCATCATTGATTGTTTATTTTCGTGGTTATTGCTGCCTGATCTGTATTATTATGCAGCTTTCTCCCGTTGCTTCCTATGTGGCGGTGGAACATGGAAACAAACGCTGACCTAGCTGTACTTAACAGACTGAGTGAGAAATCTGGAGCCCCGGAGGGAAGACCATTTTAACCGAGAGCATGAAGAGTGTTGGATGATCATGCTGACCTTTTGGTAGAAATCCTGAGCTGGACTGGCATGTAGCTGACCTGAAAGTAAGCTGCTGCAGGCTGGATAAACATGGAGTTAAATGTCCAAGAATCTGCAGATGAGATTAATATTTAGGTCTGAACGTTGTCTCTCTAAATAATGAAACTCCATTTTAAGTGTGCCTGGTCTGACCCAAACACTGCTGTGTTTTTGTGGATGCAGGTCGCCATCTAGTGTCCACATTAGTCTGTTTTTGTTTTTCTTTTTTATTTTACAAACTGATGACTGGAAATCAGTGTTAGGTGTCTAAAACACATGGAACTGATTCCTGTGCTGCACCATTTTACCTGTTTGGTTTCCATGGCAACCAACCTGCTTGAATTCTCACAAATGATCCAATGTAGGTTTCTTACTCTGCTGTTCATTTTTATTTCAGTGTGACCCATCAGATCTTTTAATCTAAATAAAAAATTAAAACAATTTTAAACTTAAGATAAAAAAAATTAAATGAAAATTAATTTAAGGGATACCTTGCAACTTTTTAAAGGAGTATGGGGCAGGATGAAGAAACAAAACTCATTAGCGACGCACTCGGCGCTGTGAGTAACTGCAGCCCGGCACGAGAGCGCGCACAAACTCTTCTTCACTAGAAAAAAAAAAGTTACAGTGATGTACGGCCAGAGCGCGGCTCGAACAAGGCACCGTATCGAGTGATGAAGTAAGTAACATTGTTACTTTAGTCTAATATTTGTAAAATTCCATGACAACATTAGCTTTTTAATTTAGCCATGACACTCGTGATGTAAAGAAAGTGCTCCTTCCTATGAAATATTCATAAGCCAGTTTTGTGACTGGTGAGCAAGACAGTAACATGATGCTACTTTATCAGCATAAGGCTTTGTGGCAGCAGGTGATTTCTGATGTTTTTAGACCAATTACAGTTATTATTTTGCACTAAGCTTACTAACAAGCTAATGTTATTGTTTATGCATCATGTAAGAACATCCAATTTCAAGTCACTGACATCATTTGTGAAACCAATTTCATTACAGGACAGGCATCACAACAATGTTGAACATGATTCGTTTTAGTTCAAAATAAAATCATAATATCAACAAGACCTACAGGGTAATACAGTCATTTTTCATTACTGTCATTGATTTTCAGGAATTCACATTGGAAGCAGTGATGGAAGACAGTTCAGATGAGGAGTAAGTGCCTGAGCCTGCCACAGACTTTGATGTGTCGTGGGAAAGTCTGAGACCAGGGGGCAAAGGGCAGTAATGGAAAGGGGAGAGGAAAAGGTCGCTCCGAGGGTCGGGGAAGGACACGCTCAAGGGGTGAGGGCAGCAGGTTGAGGTCCAGAGCTCCTTCAAGAGGACCAGGGCGCCGGGGTAGGCAGCGAACAGCTTTAAGAGAAGAGGGCCGAGACCGGCTTGCAAAGCTGAGAGCTGCCAGTATAGCTGAGATGCAGGTTGGTTGTAGCCATTTGTGTAAAAAAATCAAATAAAATAATAGATGCCAAAAACGAAAACATCACTCACTGGAGATATGAATCTAGTCATGTAAACATATGCTCTTTAATTTCTAGACAGCTTTACAACACCTGAGCCAGGAGGAGAGAGATTATATTCTCGAGAGAGTGGTGACCCGTCTTCCAGGGGTGATGCTGGATATCCTGGAGTTTCGGCAAGAGACGCCAGGACACCGTCTTCCTGACTGAGGACACCCTAACCCAAAACTCCAAACCGTTTATCTACAACTACAGTAGTTCCAAAACAGCACAATACCTCAAAATAACTTTAGCTGAAGACAGCATTTTCACCCAAAAATAAACAAACAGTTTGTGCAATATATTTATTTTTATTTATGTACAAAAAAGTTCTGTTATTTGCATTTGTACATAGTATTTTTTCTTAATTTCTAATAAATCTGTGTGCATGAAAGAAGTCATTCCTGTCTTTTGATGCTTCACGTAGCTGGGGCCTTTATGGAGAGAGAACAGCAGCATTAGATCATACATAGATTACATGAGAATGCAGTTCTGGAAACTCTCCAGTTCTGAAGTTGACCTGTAAGAAAAACAAAAGCTACAACTTTATAGATTATTAGGAATCACACTTTTGATTGCCTTTTCACCCACAATTGTCATTTCTATATGTAAATTGTCAGCTTTGATATTGACACTTTAGCTTTTCTGCTTATGAAAATGTTATTAATATACCTAAAGGTCAGATTGGTGGCATCCTTCAACCAGCGTCTGTTGAACATGATTCGTTGAAGAGCCTCGTGTGGTGGAGATCATGGCACCATGAGCTCTTTATCACTGGTCGTTGCATCAAGTGGTCCATGGTCACATTTGCCACGGGTCCATTCATGCTTCCCTGTGACATGGTGAAGCACACCCACCCACATGCCTTAACAGAAAAAATAAGTTTTTTTTTGAAAACTTTACATGTGACAGAAGCGCTCACCAACAGAAACACGAGAGCTGGCACTATTATGAAAAGAAAGGTAATTATGTCAATGTGCATTGTTGTCTTGTTGTCCAAAAGATGTCACAATACTTACATTAAACATATCACGATGTTGTGCTTTCTGGCAGATGTACCAAAATTGGTTGACGATGTCCTTCAGCCACACAAGTAGGATGGAAATTCCCTTTAGGATCCCAGCCTGTGAACAAGGATAAAACAACAATTCCATCTTTTAGTTCTTTTTAAAACATAGAAGGGTTTTATTTACCTGCAATGTTTTGTTTGCGGCTGCAAACTTCGTCAGCCTGACAAAGTTTTCATAACAGTTCTATTCTGTTATGAAAACAATAAATAAAAGTAGAATTAATATATTGTTTTAAGACTTTGGAGTTTAAAAAAAGAGTGTAGATAAGAATAGGGCTGGGCAATATGGCCTCAATCTATATTGCGATATAGCCAAAAACTATCATTACCCAATTTTATATCGTTTCTACCTTATATCGTTTATATTGCCCACCCCTAGATAAGAAGACATTGCAACTCACACACTGTTGAGTTGTTTGCTTGGTCCTCAACAATTTGGACTGCATCCGTAGCTAGATCCATGGATTTGAAACTACAGACAACACAATAATATTTGTTGTACGTAAAGACAAATACTGGAACTCACCTGAAATGGTACTGATTCTAAGGAGATAAATGTGGAGCCTAATACATCTGTCATTAATTCTTTCTGCAAATAACAACAATCTGCTGTGAATTGACACTTCACAACATAAATAAATATATAAAATGACCTATATGTGCTTATATATTGTGTTTTTATATTTTTTGCACAGCAGTAATTTCCTGCGTATATGGCAAGACTTCTCATGAACAAATTTACCTTTCTTCAAAAGGATCTAAATCTTGGTCATCAGCTAAGGCCTCAACACCAGCCATTAGAAAATCTTCCCTGTAAAGATAATGTCAGAAGTGTTTGGTGGTGTGATGTTAGTTCTGAACCAAGTGTGGATATGCAAGGTGTAATTTAATGTATGAAATATCATAGCACAAAAACGTGAATATTTGTTTTACAGAAAAGATACTAACCCCTCAGACACAGGTTCAGTTGGAGATAATCGATGCCACATTTTAGCTGCTGTTCTCCCTGAATTGCATTTTCAGGAGCCTGCTTCTTCCGGTAGCTGGAAAACACATTTTTAAACAAAAATGTCAACAAGTTGGTTGAGACTCTACACCTTCTGTTTACATAGATCAATAATGGCTAAGCGTCTTTACCTGTGGCACAACTAGTAATATGAAAATGCAGGTCAGTCATAAAAAAATTATTTATCATTTTCACAAACATATTTTATTCTGACCTACATTCAACAGGACAAATTTAGAAAAATAAACACAAACTTCTGCACAACTTTACTTTTAGTAAAACGTAGTAATGGCTGACTAGTTATTTACTCTTTTGTAGCACAGCACTAACGTTAGGAAAAGATATTCTGATGGGGTTCTGTTACACAACCCCACGAATAACATTATCTACTGAAGTAACAGTCCTGCTTAGAGGTTGGACTGTAGATCAAATATGACATAATTCTAAAGACTCATCTTTGGTTTGGAAAATGTCCGTTCTCTTCTGTGGTACATACAAACTGAAGCGTGAGCACAGCTAAAATGCTACCGCACGCTAGCTCTCTCCGACTGATCAGTGACGTCATATAATCAAATCAAGCTCTGTTTACTTTTCTCGTCAGAAAAAACGGAGCATCCATTTATCTCCAATCACATGCGGTGTGTCGTCCACAAAACGTAGAAGTGATCGATTACTCCTTAGTTGCTTTTAGCTTTTTCAAACTGATCAGGAAGCCATATGCTAAACACCGTTAGCTTAGATACGTTTCTTGTTCATCTGGCCAAAGATTTGTTAGATTACCTAAATCAGTATTATCTAAATCCATAGGTTTTATTTTATTTTCTTAAATTGTGGAGATACAGCTCTGATATGTTTACCTACTCGTTACTGAAACCTACGGCAGACATAAGGAGACCAGCTAATACAACACTTACCTGCTCACTAGAAAATGAGCCATGTCCGCATCCTTTTTCAGGCCCAAATTGAGTTGAAGCAGCCTCATTCTTCCAGAGCGTACCCAATACATATTCGGGTCCCTGACCGACTTTTATCATATTTTCTTTTTGACTCTCGAGATGCCGCTGATAAAACCTTCTTCTTAGTGCCACCTTAGTAGGCTTTGAGTTGCGCTTGGTCGTTTGCTAGTTGTAGAATCCATTTCCAGGGTTCTTCCTCTTCTGTTTGGGGTTTTAACGTGGCTAGTAGTGAAAGACGCATTACCGCCACCTAGCAAGCTTCCAAATGTTTTTCCGGGTTTGAACCTTGTCGAGAACGCGCTTGAAGCGTCAATTAACGTCACATCCGTAAAACAGCGCGGGAAATTCGGATCAGGAATGTTTTGCATTTTGCAGCACACAGCCTGATTAACAAAATGGAATGATAAACTGGTTTCATCATTCTTTTTAGTTTAAAATGCTTCATCACCCATAAGCTTCACAAGAATGAACATGTATCCTATTTACTTCTTGTTTTTGGACAATTCCTGCCCCATGCTCCTTTAAATTTTTAAATCATTTTCTTGAGCCAGAATGTGCTAAAATGACTCTTTACAGGGTCCTGTGGCCAGAATACCATACTTGCAACTTTAGAGTGACGGTCCGGTTCCTGTTGGACTTAGAACCTCCCTGAACCGTCTACAGGTGCTGTGCTCGGCTTCTGACCAACTCCTCCAAACATGCCCACATCACCCCGCTTCTCCTCCAGCTTCAGTGGCTGCCAATCAACTTCAGAGTTCAGTTCAAGATCCTGGTTCTGGTCTATAGAGCTCCGGACCATACGTGACTCTCAGTTAGTGGACGCCATTTTGGCATGCAAAAAAGGTAAACAAACACGGATGTAACCATGAACATGAACGGGATCCGCTTGGATTTTACTTCGTCGGAGTTTACTTCACACTTTAAAACAGAAGAAATTGTTTTATATAGTTAGTCAGAAATTAAATAGACTAAACAACTCCGACCCTTACCGTGCCCCTGGGATACTTTTTAAAAATGCCAGAAGCTGTCGGAGCGGACTTCTTACCGGCACAACACCGGACCTGGCCGGGAGAACCCCTTGGGATTCCCCCGGCCGGAGGAGCTGGGGAGAAGGTCTGGGACTCTCGACTCTACTGCCCGCTCCGACGCCAGAAGCTGTCGGAGCGGGCTTCTTACCGGCACAACACCGGACCTGACCGGGGAACCCCTTGGGATTTACCCGGAGGAGCTGGCTCCGGCGGCTGGGGAGAGGGAAGTCACGCTACTGCCCCCGCAACCCGACTCCGGATACGCGGATGAAAATGGATGGATGGACGGACAAATAACAGATTTACACGTAAGTAGTCTCGGTGAGACAGATAATAGCAATCCAAAGTGCTTTTTATGTGTGATCTGACAATTGATCAACCATTGCTTAAAAATTAAATACAGCTTAGCCGGTTAATTGCTGTGATCATAAAACACGTAAACGGCAGCACGCAGAACTCACGAGACAACGTTTTACGTGACGTTTACTTGTTGCTATGAGTAATAAGACAGAAAAAGCCACGCCAAAATAAGTTTAGGAAGCCCACTAAGAATCATAATAAAAGCATTTAAAATAAATACCATACACAGTTGAGGAAACGTTGGTTTAAGTACCTGATATGAAGTAGTCGCTGCATAAGCGAAAACCTTTACTCTCAGGATCCCACAGTTTTATTTTCGCCCGGTCACTAGCGCGTTTTATTATAATGATCCAACGTTTGCGGTGCTCCGGATCTTGGGGAATCCTGTAGATGACTCATTCCTTATGTCGTCCGCGTTTGTTCTGCATCCTGGGGCACAACAGGAATCTACCATATTTCCCGTTTGATTGAGTTTTCTGACAATAACAAATAGTCCAGCTGCCGGCTTCTGCCTGCCAAATGGCGCCGTTTCGATTTGAACTGTTGCATGCCGGGAGAAGTGACGTCAACTCCCGGAGCTCTATAGGGCCTTACATGGACAAGCACCATCTTACATTGGTGATCTTCTTAGTCCCTACACCCCCAGCAGGTCCCTGAGGTCCAGTGATCAAAGCCTACTGGTTGTGCAGCACCAGGCTAAAGGTCAAAGGTGACAGATCATTTGCTGCGGTGGCCCCCAGACTCTGGACCTCTCTCCCCCTGAGCCTGAGATCAGTGGACTCAGTGGTCTCCTTTAAACTCACCTGTTCAGGTTTGGTGGGACCTTCATCACCACCTTCTCCTTGTTCTGCTCTCATTCCACCTTCCCCAGATCCACTGGTTTCCCTCTTTCCTCTTCATTTCCTCTCTCCTTTTCCTCACATTTATTCATCACAATTTTTATTTCTTCTCATTTTAAACATTTTTAATAATTTTTTAAAATATTTTTTATATTTAAAAATTTTCTTTGTTTTTTTAAGCACATTGTGACGTTTATCTTGAGAGGCGCTTTATAAAAGATTGCCTTCTTTCTTTCTTTCTTTCTTTCTTTCTTTTCTTTAGTAAAGTGAAGCTGACATACCTGGCGCTGCAGCTGCTTCCAGCACATTTCCTGCATGTTTTAGATCATAAACACAGCTGATTTGTTTAGTTCATCACTCCTGTGGACACTAACGAAAGCTTGGAGACATTTCAACTGTTAGATTAAGGTGTTAAAAGACAAACGCACAGTGAGGAGATAGGTTTTGGCTTTGATGGAGGTTGAGAGGTTTCAACCAGATATGGTCGGGCTCACCTCAACACATGGCTCTGGCTCCAGAACCAGTTTCCTTGAGAGGAGCGGGACACTCTACCACTCTGGAGTTGCCTCCTCTGAGAGGCCCCGAGCAGGGGTGGGAAATACTTGTTGCCCCATCTTGGTGCCTGTACGTTGGGGTTTACCCCGGTGAACGAGAGGGTAGCCTGTCCGCCTACGTGTGGGGGGACAGGTGCTGACTGTGGTTTTGTGCTTATGCACCAGTGTATTTTTTGGCGAGCGTCTTAGTTTAGTCAGTCTTAGTCTTGATGACGAAAATGCATTTTAGTCTCTTTTTTTTAGTCTTGGTCAGTTTTAGCCGATTAAATCTGAAAAATGTTTTAGTCGACGAAGATTTTTGTTTTTAATCTTACAAACATTAAACAGTATTATTCTCTAACAAATGCATGTATAGGTCAGACTCTGAGCTACTGGAGTGAGTTTCATACCAACGTCATTTATTTTATGGCTATGGGACAAAATCTCAGCTGCCTCAGATTCTGTAAAACAATCATCCCCAGACTAGTGTCCTTTTTTACTTTATTGATAATCACAATAGTGTTTATAATGCATTGATGCAGATCTGTGCATCATTCTATAGATTTCCACTAAAGTTCAATTCAATTCAAGTTTATTTCTAAAGCTCCACACCAGGACCAGAGTCGTCTCAAGGACCTTCACACAGTAAACATGCCAACACAGGTCAGGTCATTAAGCCAATCAGTAACATGTTTCCTATATAAGGAACCCAGGAGGTTGCATCGAGTCTCTGACTAGTGTCAGAGTCTTTACAGCAATGTACGATTTTCTTTCCTTAACAGAATGGACTCTTAGGAAGCATACAGAGTTTTCTACACAATATTTATACAGAAATAAAGAAATGTGTTTGTTTAATGCATCATTTGAGTTATCAGGCCTCCATCTTGAATGTGTATTGTCCACCTGCAGTCATGTTTTTCTGCAGACTGCAGCGTTTTCACAGAGTTAATATAAATAACCCAGTTCTGCTCTAGAGCATCAGCAGAAATGCTCATAAACATCCTAAACTGTGATGCTGTTGGGTTGAAAAGCAGGAATGTGACCCTTTATTGGGAACCAGGGAGCAGAGCAGGGGCGGCGTTAGGCCCGGCTTCTTGGGCTCAAGCCCCAAATGTTTTGCCCCTGGATCTAAAACGTGGAAGTAACATGCAGTACCAAAGTCCAACAGAGAGGGAGCAGCTGGCAGTAGTTTATATACAGCGTGCCTGAGCCTCCACCACTGAAGAAGCCCTTCAGCAGCCGGCTTCTTCTACAGTCTCTGCCTGAAACGCAAATGTAAAGATGGACATAAGGGCATATTTAGACCAAAAGTACCGCAACAGAACCCCAGCTTTGATGATACTGGTGTTGACTCAGGTTTGTGAGTCTTTGAAAATATTTGTTGTGCTGCTGGTTTGCCTAAAGTTAGCTTACTATCAGGTAAAGTTGTTGGAGAAAGAACGGGAATATTTACTATCGTCTTACACTAAACACTAATAGGAACAATACTCTCCCCTGAATATGCTTAATATGTAGCTTCAGATTAAAAATTATGCAGAACAAGACAAATGTATATGATGTTGACTAGTGTGTGCATGTGTGTGTGCGTGTGTGTGTGCGTGTGTAAGCCCTGGATCTTCTTCAGTCCTAAATCCGCCCCTGGAGCAGAGACGATCATCCTGACACTCTGACTTCAAAACCTTAAACCTGTTCAGATAAAACCTGTTAAAAACCGTCATTTTCATTTATCTGCCCAAAAGCACGACCTTTTCAGGAAGTACACGGATTAGAAACGCGTTAGCATTACGGAATATATGTTTATAAGTAGTGTAGCGTAATGGTTGTTGGCTCTTTTATGAAAGATAAACCATTCT